TTGGGGGACTGGTGGAGCCTGCAGTCCTGGGCTTGGGGGACCAGTGGAGGCTTCAGTCCTGGGCTTGGGGGACTGGTGGAGCCTGCAGTCCTGGGTTTGGGGGACCGGTGGAGTTTTCAGTCCTGGGCTTGGGGAAGTAGTGGAGCCTACAGTCCTTGGGGGGACTGGTGGAGCCTGCAGTCCTGTTTGGGGGTCAGGTGGAGCCTGCAGTCCTGGGCTTGGGGGACTGGTGGAGTCTGCAGTCCTGGGGTTGGGGACTGGTTGCCTGCCTGTCCCTTTCTGCACACCCCTCCCAAGGCCTGGCTTGGTGTTAGGTGCTGTTGACTCATCTATTCTCAGGGAGCCATGTGCTGTCTGAACTTTTCCTTCTTTAATGGGGCTCTCTTTGTTTCCTGACCTGTAAGGCTCTTGTTTGTTGAGTGCTTTGTTCCTTTCCCAAAGCCTTTCCTACACATTAAGCTCTTACTGGAGCCCATGAGAAATGGAGGCCCGGAGACATTAAGTGGTCTGCCTGCCTTGAGTCAGTTCATGTGACATTTGGGATTCTAACACTGGAGCTCCAGCAACCAATCACATCATCTTACATTGCCCTCTGCTGTCAAGGCCTCTCTTGAATCCCAGAAATGCCCAGTGTGGGAAGAGGTTCCAGAGTAGAGAAGGGGGCGTGTCCACAAGATTCAGCAGAAAGAATCAAGTCATTGTACTTCAAAATCTCGTGACATTTTTGCAGCAAGGAACTGAGTCTGGAAAAGGACCTGTGCCCGTGTTTAAGGTGGAGACTCTCCCTGCAGAGGGTTTTGGCTAATTAATTCAATGAATTACTGGCACCTCCACCAATACCCCACAGGAATCGCATGGCCTGGTTTCTCAGAAATCTTAAACAAGCATCCTGCTCAGCTTGGAAAACGGGTCAACGCGCCACCTGGTGGCAGTAGATGGGTATTTTATTCCATTTTAAGAGTCCCTTGTTGGGGTGGATGTAGAGTGGGGTCTTTCCAACCTTGGGCACTGATACTGATAACACATACTCCTGGGCCCCACCCCTGACATAGGGAATCAGGATCACAGGAGCGGGGTCAGAATAATTCTGAGACAGGGCTAGTATGGGAACTACTATTTTAGAAGTATTAAAAATACAAGTATTGAGTCTTTTTAAAAATATATTTTTTTAAAAGAAAAATATGTATTTTTAAATTTTTAAGTAGGGAGGTGGAGGTCTCACTGTGTTGCACAGGCTGGTCTCGAACTCTTGGCCTCAAGTGATTTGGCTGCCTCAGTCTCCCAAAGTGCTGGGATTTTAGGCATGAGCACCGTGCCCAGCCTAAGTACTGAGTCGTTAACTACATATTCTGCACTGTGCCGAGAACTTTAGAATGCTGTATTTTGCTTGCTCCTTGCAGCTTCCCTCATTTTACAGATGAGGAAACTGAGACTCGGGGGAGTAAAGTGACTTGCACAGATTTGGACTGGAGGCATGCAGTGGGGCCACGGGTGAAAGGCTGCGTCAGGGATGGGAAGTGGTGCTGGGTTTCTACATGTGACTTCTGCGTTGCAGACAATCCTGAAGATCCTCGTTTCTGGAGGCGGCAAGTCACGGACAGGTGTGATGATCCCCATCCCACAGTATCCCCTCTATTCAGCCGTCATCTCTGAGCTCGACGCCATCCAGGTGAACTACTACCTGGACGAGGAGAACTGCTGGGCGCTAAATGTGAATGAGCTCCGGCGGGCGGTGCAGGAGGCCAAAGACCACTGTGACCCTAAGGTGCTCTGCATAATCAACCCCGGGAACCCCACAGGTCTGCACTTTACTTCCTCACCAGTTTCGTAGAGGGTGGGGGTGGCTGATACACTGGCTGTCCAGAAACCAAAGAGTTAAATAATTAAAGGTTCTCTCTGCCCCTAGTTTCCCTTCCAGATTTGCTAACCTAAAGCCATAAAATTTGCCACAGGCCACCTCAAGAGGTGAGGAGGCCAGGTGTGGTGGCCCATGCCTGTAATCCTGGCACTTTGGGAGGCTGAGGCAGGTGGATCACTTGAGTTCAGAAATTGGAGACAAGCCTGGCCATCATGGCGAAACCTCGTCTCTACTAAAGACACAAAAATTAGCAGGGCATGGTGGTGTGCGCCTGTAGTCCCAGCTACTCAGGAGGCTGAGGCATAAGATTTGCTTGAACTCGGGAGGCGGAGGTTGCAGTGAGCTGAGATCATGCCACTGCACTTCGGCCTGGGTGACAGAGCAAGACTTTGTCT